TTGCAAAACATAAAGTTCTATCTTTTATGGATGGGAATGCTGAATATAATCAGATAAAAAAAGCTAAAGAAGATATACATAAGACATCATTTAGGTGCCCAAGACACGTAGGAGCATATGAGTATGTGGTCATGCCATTTGGGCAGAAAAACGTTGGTGCTACCTATCAAAGGGCAATGAATGTTATCTTTCATGATTTAATCGAGCATGGTATGGAGGTATGTATTGATGATATTGTGGTGAAGTCTAAAACTGACGAGCAACACTTAAAAGATCTCAAACAAGCCTTATTAAGAATGAGCACCCACAAATTGAAGATGAATCCTAAGAAATGTGCATTTGCGATTAGATCGGGCAACTTTTTGGGATTCCTGGTTCATAAAAAAAGAGTGGAGATAGAAAGAACAAAGCTCGGGTTATAATGGACTCACATTCCCCTAATAGCAAAGTACAATTACAAAGGCTATTAGGAAAAATCAACTTTTTAAGAAGATTTATTGCTAATTTGGCAAGCAAGATTCAACCATTGACTCCTTTATTAAAGTTGAAAAATCAAGATAAGTTCGAATGAGGCCCACAACACCAAGAAGCTTTTGACAGAGTAAAGGCTTGTCTAGCCTCTCCACTAGTGCTCATGCCCCTTCAGAGAGGGAAACCTTTGAAGCTCTATATCTCTGCATCGGAAAAGTCAATAGAAAGCTTATTGGCTCAAAACAATGAAGTGGGAAGGAGCAAGTAATAAACTATCTTAGTAGGATCCTTATTAAGGTAGAAACAAAATATACTCTAATTAAGAAACTATGTTTGGCTTTGTACTTCACTACCTGCAAGTTGAGGCATTACTTGTTACCTTGCCACATCTATATCATTGCCAAGACTGATGTGATCAAATACATGATGTCTAAGCCAATGCTAACTGGAAGAATTAGGAAATGGATTCTAGCACTATCAGAGTTCAGTTTTTAGTATGTGCCTCAAAAGGCAATAAAGGGACAAGCAATTGTAGACTTTTTGTCCGAGCACCAAGAGTCACAGGAAGAACATGTCAACATCCCAGGAATTTTAGAAGTAGTCAGCTTATGGATCCCACCTAGTAAAGATCACTCAAGCAAAGAAAAATGGATCCAACAAGAAGTAAGGAGGATAACTAGTCTATGGATCACTCATTGGAAGTTGTATTTTGATGGGTCTTGCACCCAATATGCTGCTGGAGCTGGGATTGTTATCATCGATCCAAAGGGGATTTAACTTTTCTATTCATTCTTTCTAGATTTCCAAGATACTACCAATAACAGGGCAGGGTACGAAGCATTGATCATTGGCCTTGAAATCCTAATAGAGTTAGGGGCAACTGAGGTAGAAATATATGGTGATTCTGAGTTGGTGATTAATCAGTTGAATGAAGACTACAAGTGCAGACACATCATAATGGCATGTTATTATTTGGCAGCTACTCAGTTGTTGAGTTATTGGGGGCATTGAAGTGCCAATCAATCATGTTCCTAGATAAGCAAATTTAATTGCCAATGAGATGGCACAGTTGGCTTATGGAGCACAGATTCAAGAAAGAAAGTTTAAGGTGAGTATAGAGGAACATAGAAGAAATCTCCCTTCCATATTTGAGAGGGGGTTCAATCTAAATGTAATGACCAAGGAACCTAAGATAGAAGACTAGAGAACACTCTTCATTAAGTACTTAAAAGACCTTTTTTCTCTTACAAGTAAGAAGATTAGGCAGCAAGCAACTAAGTTTGTGATGTGGGACAAGGCCTTACTAAGAAAGACTCCATATAGGGTTTTATTGAAATGCTTAGGCCTAGAAGAGTCAATGAGGGTGATGGCTAAGGTGCATGAAGGTATTTGTGGAGCACACCAAGCTGGAACTAAGATGAGGTGGTTGCGGAAGAGATATGGCTACTTCGGGCCTGATATGAAAAAAGATCGTAAAGCTTATGCTAGAAGATTTAACGAATGTTAGAGACATGGACCTCTTCAACATATACCTTCAGTACCCTTGAATCCAGTAGTAAAACCTTGGCCCTTCAGAGGTTGGGCAATGGACTTCATTGTGCAAATTTATCCAGCCTCTAGTAAGGGGCATACCTTTATAATTATGGCAACTGACTACTTTACTAAGTGGGTAGAAGCTTCAGCGGTGAAGACTATTAATTCAACTGTTGTGAGGAAGTTCATTGAGACCAAGATTTTACACAGATATGGGGTGCCCTAGACAATTGTCACAGACATATGGCCATCGTTTATCTTGAAAAAAGTGGAGGAATTTGCAAACAAGTTCAAGATAAAGATGATCCAGTCTAGCCCTCATTACCCTCAATCAAATGGTCAAGTAGAAGCTAGCAATAAGATCTTGGTGAATATTATTAAGAGAATGGTGATAGACAGCCCAAAAAGATGGCATGAGAAGTTGGGAGATACTCTTTGGGCTTATAGACACTTAAAGAGAGTAGGAACTGGAACCACCCCTTATGCATTAACCATCGGGTAAGATGTTGTACTCCTTATGGAGATTAATGTAAGTTCTATGATACTTCAAAACTAGTTTTGACTACATAATGAAGAATATATCCATGCCATATGTCAAGGGACTGAAGATTTGGATGTAGCTCAAATTGAAGCCTTGAACAAGATCCAAGAAGGAAAGAGAATTATTGCCCGAGTATACAACAAGAAAGTAAAATTAAAAACCTTCAAGGAAGGAGAGTTGGTATAAAAGGCAGTTCTACCCTTATGAGCTCAAGTTAGAGGTTTTGGGAAATGGAGTCCCACTTGGGAAGACCCTTTTACAATCACTAGAGTATTAGGCCGATAAGGTTATTACTTGGTAGATTTAGAAGGAACCTTGCTAAAACATCCAGTAAATGCCAAATTTTTAAATAAATATCGACCAACTCTTTGGGATGTTAGAGACTGTTACATTGATAAAGTTTAAGTATTCAAAGAAGTGGGGAAAATCCTTGTTATGCTCAAGATCAGTTAATAATTGCAAATATTGTAAATAAACAAGTATTGGAGCAAACAAAGAAGTGTTCATTTCATAATGGGAGAATTATAGAAATCCTATTCTATCAAGTTTACATCCTTAGCAAGAGCAGTTATCCTAGAATGATAAGTTTGCATAATGGTGAAAATTTGACCAGGCTTTTCCAAAGCTATGCTGCTATTAGCAAGTTGGGTTTTAGCATCCTCCACTTCGAGATTGACCCTCTTCACTTCTTCAATCTTCTGATATAATTTGTTCCAGAGAGTGCAGAAAGTTGCTCCTCTAACTTTTGGATCTCTGTAACAACTACCATGATGCATTCCTCCATGGCTGAGCCCTTCTTCACTAGCTGCTGCAAGGAGCTGGAAGTTCTGCTGAGCCTTGTACAATTTAGTGAGTGCTTTCTTAGCTTCTTGGAGTGCCTTGAGGCTAAAGGAAGCAGTGAAGTCCCTCTGCAATTCACATTTGCTTATGCCGGATGGGAAGGCACTGCACATGATACAAGGGTTTTTCTATTCGTGCTACAGAATCCAAATTTAAACTTTTCTAAGCCTCCAAATGGTAATCTTCATACTTATTATAACATTTTACATACTTGCTTCGAATAACTATTACAATACAAAACAAAATTTTCAATTTTTAGGAAAATATTACTTGGTAGATGTACCCACAAATGAGAGGTTATTTGGGACCATATAAAGGTGAAAGATATCATCTCCCGGATTTTCGTAGGGATCCTAAACCAACGGGTCATAAAGAGGTATTCAACCACATGCATTCTTCTTTTATAAGCATCATTGAACGAACTTTTGGGGTATCGAAGAAAAGATGGGCAATTTTAAGGGATATGCCTAATTACCCGTTCAATAAGCAAGTGAAGATTGTCATTGTTACAATGGCTCTTCATAACTACATACGAAGATATTCTGAACGTGATCGTCATTTTGATGACCCCAGAGACTTTTGTGAAGAGAGCGATAGTAGTGATGATGATGATGAAGAATACCAAAATTATCAAGTTTAAGGATCACATGAGATATAAGCATTAAGAAATAGAATAGCGGCAAGTTTGATGAATGCATCTAATTACACTACTTTCAAGTACATTAACAATATTGTACTAATGAATCCTAGCTATTTAGTCTAAAATATTTCAATTGAAGTAGTTTGTCATACTAATTAATATTTAAGATAAAGTTTATAAATATTGTTCTTTTAAAAATAAGGAAACATTAACGAAAAACTCATGGTACTGTTCACTTTAACGAAAAACCATATTTTTACACTAAAAAATCAATCCTGATACGGTTCACTTTACCCTTTATTTTTTCCTTATCGTTAAAACTCAAAGTTTTCAAGCCATTTTCATTAGTTTTTCTTAAAAATAAAGTATATTTAGTAATTCACCTTAATTTGTTAAGAAAAATAAATTTATGGCACATCCAATATTATACCCTTTTTGGTCATTTCACACACTTACAGCTGTTTTACATAAAAGTTTACCAAACACTATAATACTATATTTTTTTTTTTTTTCAAAAGCACTTTCACAACAATGTTCCTCAAACACTCTACTGCTTATTTCACAACTGCTTATTCTTAGGGGTGGGCACGGGCTGGGCTAAGCCCAATTTTGGAGGACCCGGACCTTACCCGTTTTAAAGAGTAACGGGGCGGAATGGGCCAGGTAGAGGGATTTTGAGTTTTGGAACCGGACTTAACCCTGCCCGTTTGAAACGGGCCGATCCAGGACGGGTCCAAGGGTCCAACCTTTTTTTTTTTGGTTGTAATTTATAAGCTGTATTGCACAACAGCAACACAGACATGAATTCTTATATATTCTTCAGCCCCAGAACATCTACTCCTTGAAAAGGTTGCCTTCCAAAGGCCAATGATCAATAAGATGCTTCGTGAAGGTTTACAGCCGATGCAGGTTTTGGGACATTTGGTGGAAGTAGCTTCTCTTTGAGGTCCTCCATTACGTATGAGCTCTCATTGATGCAACATTAAAAACAAACGACTTTAATTTTGATACAACACTTGTCTACATCTATATGCATACAATTTCGGGGTCAACGATTGCATAACTTCTTGATTAAAATAAAGGGAAATACATTCCTCACAGCCATTTTTGGTCCAGCAATAAACAGGGGTGTATGAATCATGAAAATCTAAAACTAGTTAAAGTAAAAAATCCAGTTAAAGCCATTCACAGAAGAATGCAATCAGACATTTCCCCCCTTTTCGGCCAATTTTGGCAAGCAACAAAACTTGAAAATAAGGAGAGGGGGAGCAGGAGATTTAACTGAATGTGTATGTTCAGAAAATTGCATTACAAATACTGGAGTTTCATATCAGCCTGAATTATAAACTGCCAAACCTGCACAAGGGAGTGCTGCAAATAAATGGTAGGAATATTTGGTCACAAACTCCTTTTTCACAAATCTTATTATCAGTAGAGAGTAAATCAACAAATCTTCGAAAACACATGAACAATTTCAAGAAAGAATAGAATTGCTGGCGCTGGCTAGATTAGCAGTTTATGGCATTGGACAAGCTTTGGCCATATTACAAGAGACATAGCAGTTGACGAAGAATTCAGTCATCTAATTTGAACCCCACATGATTAATCGCTTAACAAATAATAATTAACAGTATGAAGGTCCACTTTTGAGAGCATATAGAGTTTGTACTAAGAAACTCCATTAAGCACTCTATTATAAGAACATGAACTGATGGTTCAAAAGTATTAGGTTTGAATTTCATATCAAAAACCAATCAAATTCCCAACTTACTTCCACTTCCAGTAAGCAAACAATTCATATATACATATAATATAACAAAAAATTGATTGATAACACCTGAGTTTCATATAAAAAAACCATCAACAAATCAATTGAGACTGCTCAGACAAAGTAAGGAGAAGAGAAATTACAACAAAAGGCAACGATACCTGCAGATTAATGAAAACCCAGATGCCTGGGTTTCCTGAACTTCTTACAGGAAGCAACGTCGTCAAAGTACAAGACGCCGACGTGGATCTTCCCGAATCCAACCCGGAACTTGTACCACTGGGCGCTCCCGAAACGGACCCTGCCCACACCAATACATTGGAGTTGATGCAATTGGTTTCTGTTCCCAACCAGAGTCGTCCTAGCCTTATCAATCAAATCCTTCAAAACTCAAAACCCAAAACCCAAAAATCAAAATTAAAAATTGAAGTTTCCCAATTTTATCAAAAAAATAAAAAATTTGTCTCTTTGGCTGAAAGAAGTTCGCAACATTGATCTTCCAAAGTCGACAATTCTTCTTAAATCTTCTTTATCCTCGAAACCAGCTTCCTTGGGTTCGCATTATCTGGGTAGATTTGTTGGAACTCCCTCTCGAGCCGGTGCTGGACCACCGTTGGATGAGGGTTTTGGGGGACGACTGACGGAGAGTGACGGAAAGGAGGAGATGATTGACGGGGATTAACAGAGGGGAGGGGACGACGCACGCTTGATGGCGAGAGAGAATGAGTTCGAGGTCCAGTCTCCATTGACAGAATTGAGGACTTGAGACAAGAGAGAGAACCAAGCGTAAAACTTACGGTTCAGATTGAATGGTAGCTTAATCTTCAATCTCATCCGTCCATTGCAATTACAAACGAACCGGTCCAGGTACCCGTTTTTCTATATTTCTGGAGCCGACCTGCCCCTAAATTTTCAAAGGCCCGACCCGGCCTGCCCCGTTTCTATTTTTAAAAATGAGGAACGGGCCCTTACCAGTCTCGAACCTTGATTACCCACCCTAATTTGCGGTTCTTATACCCGTTTGCCCATCCCTACTTATTTTCACAACACAACAGAAGTAGTTTTTTTTTTTTTTTTCAAAGCATAGCAATACAAATCCAGCCTTTCATCTTTTTTCATGATGTTAGAATTGAAAATCATGAATAAACTAAATGGTTTTTTAGAGCTCCGTGTCGGATATGTAAACAAAATGTGATGATCACTATGAAAAATTGGGTCCCATGCGTTTATGGTAATGTCAAGTAAAATCTTCTTTACAAAGTGATGGTTTTTAGGGTATGGTGGTGGTTCTTGTTGTTGTGGTTTTAATGGATTGCAACCCCACTCTCTTTTTTTATCTTTCAGAAGCTAGCTAAACAAGAAAAATGCTAAAGCCTAAACAAGTGTGGTGCGCAAAGGCTTCTACCTGCTCACATTGCTAGAAAATCCTAAAAGAAAAGGTCATTCACAAATCAAGTAAAAAGGATAATATGCAAAATTATGTCATTCTCTTTAGTGCCAAAAAGAAAGTTTGAGCTTCAACTTCCAAGTGTGCAAATCCCACATACATACATACATATCAATACTCGAGTAAGTCTAGCAAAATGACTTACTATTCCTAGAAACTAACATGTGCGTTATTTAGTTCCTAGTAGTTGTTAACGCGTAAAAAAAATTGAAAATGATGAAAATAGAAAGAAGATAAACTTTTGATGCATACGAATCAGATCTTAATATGCATATTAATATTCTTACATGTCTTTTAAAATGTGTGACGAAAAATCACAATTCGCTTCGCTATATAAAATTTGCAGAAAATATTTTTCCAAAAGATGCAAACCAAACTACACCTTTTCATTTCTCTTTGTCAAACTCTTCATGTTTTCAAATTTTCCTACATATTTGATTATTTAAAGAAAAAGGCTGGTAATTCTCGACATCTTAACAAATTATTATTTGTCAACTTTTAGATGATGTACGCATGCATAACTAATATTGAAGGAAAAGGACCCTCGATGGATGCTTTTCCAGAGGATCCTAGGGATCCGTGATCATTCATCAAACATTATGCGGTCAGCTTTCGTTAGGTACTATTTATATTTAATTTTAAATTTTAAAATAATTTCTGATCTCATGATGTACGATGAACGGTCACGATCATAGGATCTCTAGAATCATCAAAAAAAAGATCGAGCGAGGATCCTTTTCCAATATTGAAACCTTTAAATCGGGCCATGCCTATTACCTATTTCCCTCCCAAAATTCAACGTGCGTGTATTTTAATAGTTATTTAAAAAAAGGAAAAAAAAAAAAAAACCAACTCATATGTCCATGATTTTAAGAAAGAATTCAACTCTTTAACCACGGACAGTGTTGAAAAAAGTAATGAAAAACTCTTTAACCATCAACTCTTTGTTAGAAAAACTAATGAAAAAAATTTGAAAATTTTGAGTTTTAACAATAAGGATAAAATAAAGGGTAAAGTGAATAGTATTAGAATTGACTTTTTAGTGTAAAAATATAGTTTTTCATTAAAGTGAACAGTACTGAGAGTTTTTTATTAAAGTTCCCTTCTTTGTTTGATCACGTGGGATCTGAAGTTTCAATCAGTTAATTTCATCTATCATCATTTTTGTTTCATTCTTTATTTTTTGGTGTGAACGCTAGTTGCCGGCACAAGCAATATTCCACAAGCATAGCTGTGGAAAGTGTACGTGAGCAACTCACAGCCATTGCTTTTTACATAGAGGACAAAACCCTTAATTGTTGAATTTAGTGTTTTCATCTAGAAGGTTACATATTGAGTTGATAAGTAGTTTCAGGATTTGACCTAGGGAAATGATTTACGCAAACTCATTTTGTTCTTTTGGACACTCTTAGTTGGACTTATGCAAACGCAAACTTCCTAAAACAAATATAAGTATGCTGAATAAGAAAAGATGTATACGGATCTCTTTCCTTTGATGTTTAATGTGATGTAATTTCACTTTCATTTGATGTAATCTTATCAATTATTCATGAGAACACTATATAACCTTGTGGACGAAGACCAAATTGGGTTATTCACATATATCATTGATTCATTGTATCTGCCTTGATTGTAGCTCTGGCGTTTCAATTCTGATTGTTGATCTGTTCTATGCATCAAGAAAACATATATGTACTTTGTTACGAAACTTTATAATTTATTCATGAGAACACACTACAACCTCGTGGACAAAGTCAACAATGGGTGATTCACGTAAATGTCTGTGTTTGTTTTGATTGTGGCTCTGGTTATTCAATTTTTACTATTGATATGTTTCTATGCATCAATGAAACGTATATGTACTTTGATAAGAAACTTGTATTTTATTTGGCAATGCTTTTGGAATGGCTGACATCGTTTCTAAATAAGAAGCACTTTTAATGAATTTTAGGAGAATAATTTAGAAGTATTTTTGGATTACAAAAGTACTCAAAAATAACACTTTCAAATACTTAGCTAGAAAGCACTTGGATTTTCACTAATAATTTTGTTGTTCTTCTATCAAAAGCACTTCAACAAAACAATTCTGAGCATTACCAAACAAATCCTCTAGGTGGTTGAAGGTTAACAAGCAATGGCTCCACATGTCCGCAGTCCACTGAAATTATGTGGAACAGAAGCACTATGAGTGATAGAAAGTAAGGTTTTCACACTATGAGTGATAGAAAGCAAGGTTTTCACATATAATGGAGAATCTTCTTGACTTTTATCAACCAATCATGCTGAAAAAACATCACTGTCTATTTTTATTTTTTCTGCAGCAATCATTTTCTACGAAATAAAGGGTGATTTGACACACAAATCTACAACTAACAGATTCCCAATGGTCCAATTTAACAAATGAGATCCTTTCTGGATTCTCATTGTGAGAATTTTAGGAATCATTGAATTATATTCGTTTATCGTATATCGTGCTGTTAGTTTTCGTCAAATACTATTCATATTTAACTCTAAATAAAAGTATTTAAAATAATATATGGCCGCACGATGTACAATGAATGGACACGATTTGAGAATCTCCATAATTCTTACAAAAAGGATCCGAAGAGGATCCTCATTCCAATTTAACGGATTAGGATTCTCACATCATACATTGTACTGTCAAAATTTATTAAAAATTAAATATAAACATTACCTAACAAAAACTAACCACACGATGTACAATGAACGAACATGATTAATTGATCCTCTAGATTTCCACAAAGAGGTTCCGGAGATGATTCTCATCCCAATTTAACCACTTCATTTCATTGGAAGGCATTCACCACTTCTACCCCCAACACTTTTGTCATAATTCATAAGGGTACATCTAGGGATGGGCAAATATCCACGGGTATAGGTAACTGCGATTATCCGTTATTTAAAATTCACGGTTACGGTTATGAGTAACCTTTTAAACAAATAAACGGTTATAAGCATAACCATTTATCCGTGAAATTTAAATTGATGGTTATGAGAATTACTTACGATTATAAATGAGTACCCATTTGACCGTTTATTTTAATATGTGTAAAATTTAAAGAAAAAACTAAAAACCCTGAAATTAGTTGGGATGCTAATCCAATTTACATTGTTTTGTAGGTTTTTTTATGACAACGAATCGATGAGACTTTGTGATTAGACAGACTAAAGCATTAGAGTACTCAAAAGTTTAGTGCCGTAAACTTTGTGGTAATGAGAATCTCGAAAGTTTCAACATCTTTATTTTTTTGATTAATTTTTGCTAGTTATACTTGTACGGATTAGAAAAGAGTCTAATACTTTACAACATTTAAGCTCAAATCCGTTGAACCGAAGCAATCATGATCATAGGTAGTAGCCCCATTGAACATGTCCTAATCCTTACTCATACCCAAAGGGTTTTCACATTGTTAAGCATTGATGAATTTGAACAAACCCGTGATACTACCAGAAGCTTTGACAAACAATGTTCAAGTCTTTTCCATACCTTGCTTTTTCTACATAAACTTAGTCCACAATGGCAGCTAATGAACATTTTACTTCTATTTACCTATAAATGGGTAAAAATCGTGTAGACGGGTGAAGAAAGGATAAATGGGTAAAAAAGAGTAAACGGGTAAATGAGTAAACGAGTATCCGATTACGGTTACATGGGTACGCGGTTATGAGTGCGGTTAACTGTTTATAAATGGTTATGGATATGAATATAATTGTTTAAGCAATTACCCAACATATAAACAGTTATGCAAATAAAAACTTAAACGGTTTTGAGTAATACCCGCAATTACCCGCCCGCTATAATATTACCCATTCCTAAGCACACCTTTTGGAAGAGGTGATTTGACCCACAAATCTACAACTTACAGATTCCCAATGGTCCAATTTAACCACTTCATTTCATTGGGAGGAAATCACTAGTCCTACCCCAGCACTTTTATCCCAATTCATAAGGGCACACCATGTGCAAGAGAAGAAACAGAAATAAGGTCAATGATAAGGTCAGCTAGTAAGACAATTTTTTGTGAAGTAGGATAGAGACTTACATTTCATCCTCGAGTTTTAAATAATAATATAATGTCAAGCAAAAAGTTAATGTATAAAATATTGTATTATTGGTCAGGATATGCGAGAAATGTTATAAATAGGTCAAAGTTAAAGAGATAATCTTTACTAGTGACAGGAGTGAAACATGTGTAAAATATTACATTGTAACTATAGCACAAGAGGATGACAAATAAAGGAGGTAGGAATAGATAATGATGTTATTGATCTTTCCTTTCTTTCTCTGTGTTTTGATTGCAGTCGAGTGCTCTATTTATAAAGCAACTTGCATTATTACATCTTGAAATTTACATCACATGAATTTGAAAAACACGATCCTTTTGTTTCCAAAGTCTACATCACATTTGTGGGC